GCCCACACAGCCTGGGATCCTTTGCACTGATTTGAAAGGTTTCCTCGAGTTCTGCAAATGGCCAAGGTCCAGGAGCGAATGGGGTGTGAAGCGCTCACGCAAGGGCCGCTGTGCTGTCTTGGCGGACGCGGGACGTCCTGGCACCTCGGCAGGCGGGTACGCACCGCGGGTATCACAGCCAGCAAAATGCAGCCAAATCATCTTAAAATGATCACCGTGTTGACACTTAGCCCAACAGAGCCGAGCAGGAGACGCCGCGGGAGCCTCTGCTCGGGCTGCCGGGGACCCCTCGGTCCTCCCGGGCGCGGGGACCCCGAGCAGCGTCACCTCCCAGGCGCGCTGGGTCCCGCGGTGCGAGAGCCGGAGCCGCCCCGGGCACAGCCGCCCCAGACCCCATCCGCAAACCCAAAAGCTGCAGCCTCGGGGACCAGGCACACACAGCCTTGCCTGTCGGAGCGTCCCACGGGAGCCCCACGGCCCCGGCCGCGCGTGATGCAGAGGCAGGAAAGATCTCTGCTTCCCTGCATCTTCCCACTGCAATACTCTCGATTAATCTTCTCCCTAACGACCCCCAGACCTGGCAAAGACGATTATAAATTATYTGCAGCAATAATGGCAAAAAGATGCCCAAGGGGAATGCAGAGAGCTTGAGAAGAATCGTTAGCACATTTATGGTGCGGAGGACGGGGCTGGCCGATGGGCACGAGCTGCTCTGCTGCCYGGCTCCCTGGCCGCGTCTCACCGTCCAAGACACCCGCGAGCCCCCACCAAGCTCTCCCATCGCGCTCCTGCCTTCCTCGGGAAGGAAGAGCGGCATGAAGAGCCCCTAAAGATAGAAACTGGATAAAAGCAGCACTGGCTTTGTGCATCTTGGTTTATCAGCTGTTTCCTCTAGAGCGTTCACTCCCCTTGCTCGCAAAGGGATGGGGCCAAGTACGTCCGGGGGGCTTCGCAGCGGTGCCGGCTCGGACACACACACGTTCGGGAGGATTCACCAGGGTTATTCAGCAGGGTCAATGAGCAATGGTCAATGAGCAGCCCTGCGCCGGTGCCGCCGCTTACCTGGTGATCTCCTCCTTGAGCGCAGCCGGGTCCGTGGGGTAGAACTTGACGCGGAAGCACATGGTGAAGGGCGGCTGGGCTGCGGGCAGAGCAGGGGTCACGCTGAGCCGCTCCTCCCCGGGGACACCCGGGGGGCTCGCTGCATAACAGGGCGCGCGGAGCCCCCCCGGAGCCCGCCCGGAGCCCTGCAATGGGGAACACGTGCGGGGACACGGGTGCGCTCTGCCACGCTGCGAGCTGCGCTTACCCCTCATCTGCTTCACCACCGACTTGGTAAACTCCAACCAATGCTGAAACCAAAGAGAAAGGAATTGAAATGACTCACGAGACAATGCTTCTAATTAGCAAGATTGCCTCTTGGGGGCAAAATTAAAGAAACAGAAAGTCCTACTTTGGCTCATTTTACGTAAAGCTGTGTTTTGTGGAGGATGCCAAAGCCGCAGGAGAGCGGGAGGCTCYGGGGAAAAAGATGCTGCCACGTCCCGTCTGCACGGCCCCCCACCATGGGCATGGATGGGACACGGGCGGGGGGCATCGAAACGGCTGCCCCAGCCGCAGCGTCACCCCGGGGCTGAATGGCTCCCAAAGACACTGCCTGTGCCCTGCCTCGGTGCCCGGGAGAGCAGGAGGGAGGGAAGGAGGAAGAGGAGGAGGAGCAGCCCTGTCCCCTCCCAGCTCTGCGTGTGGGGAGGACACCCAGTGCCCCCCAGCACAGGGTGCCCCCTCCCCACAGGGACCAGGGCCCTGCGTGCTCCTCCTCCTCATCCTCTTCCTCCTCCTCCTCTGCCACCCGGCACCTCCTGCTGCCCTCCCGGTCCCTGTGCATGGCGGCCAAAGCAGCAGCCAGGGAGAAGGTAAAACAGCTTCACAAGGGCTGTAATCCCCACGCGCCGGCAGCCTCTTGCCCCGCGCCACGTTCTCACACCACGTACAGCCGGTCACGTCACTGCGCGGCCCCCAAAGCTCCAACCCAGGGAAGCCCGAAGGCAGCGCTGCTCCCGTGAGCCAGGGCYGTGTCCCAGCCCCATGCACGGGGCGACGCTGGGCTCCGTGACGGCGTTCCCACCGGAGCCTTTTCCACGGCGTTCCCGTGCAACGGAGCCCGCAGCGGCTTCCCGAGCACCGAGCGAGCGGCAGCCGCTTCCCCAGCCACGAGGAAGGCGCCGCTCGCACCGCCGGTTCTGCAATTACTCCTCCGCCCTCACAAAGAAACCGCCCGCTCTGCATGCGGCCCAGGCGCTGCATTAGCTGCTGCTTGGATTTGACAGCATTTGAGAAGGTGCATTTAAGAAAATACAAGCACTTCTTCAGTCCGTGAGTGGCGGCGCAGGCACCGCCTTCCCTGTGGGGAGCGCTTGGCTGTGCACGGGAAAGGACGGGCTGGGGAGGCAGCGCGGGCTGCAGCGCGGCGCCCGGCACCGAGCGCATGGCAGACGTTGGCCGGGACGAGCCCGCGAGCGCCTGCGTGTCCGTGCGAACGCTCCGTGTCCCGCACACTGCATGCATACGGATCTGTTCCATCTTGCATYCCTCTGGGTCCCACTGCATCCCTCCTGCTCCATCCATCCACTCGCCTGCTTCCAGGCGAGATGCTCCAAGGAAAACAACTTGGGGCACACGGAGCAGCGGGAACGTGGGTGAGGTGGCTTGAAGGGGGCTTCAGGGGGCCGGGAGAGTTGAAGGGGGCTTCAGGGGACAAGGCACTGGTAGATGCTCTGTACATGGACAAGGCAACTTGCCCCACTGACACCCACGGCTGCCCTGGCTTGTTCCTTTGCTGAGCGGCCAAGGCAGGAGGCAGCTCTGGGAAGGATTCCCGCTTCCATAGATGGAGTCCACATTTGCCCTTTCCCTTCTCCGCTGCCTCACGTGCCCCGGAGCCCGAACCCGGGGCCAGCACTTACCCTCTGCTTGTCGGGGTCCACGAAGCGGATGCCGAAGTAGTCCTTCTCGAGCAGGTTCAGGTGGTGGCAGAGCAGGTCGAACAGGTACTGGCCCTTGGCATCTCTCTGCAAGGCAAAGCGAGGCGGTCAGGGAGCGGAGGAGCGGCCGAGCGCGCCGGCACGGCCCGCGCATCCCCTGTGCCTGCCGCGGCACCAAATCCACTCGAACAGCAGGGAAACGTTCCTGACGGAAAGCGAGATTTTCCAGCCCGTTTTCCTGGTCCATGTTATTAGGAGCCAGGTAAGCCAGGTCATGGCACTTCACATCTCTGTCCGTCAGCCCTCTTTCCAGAAGGCAGCGCAGGGCAGCTCGCTCCCTCTGCTTTCCCGGGGCCGCGGCTCTGTCCTCCCCTCACCCAGCTCCGCTGCCCCGCGCATTCCGAGCGCATTTCCCCCATGCCCTTTCTGCTAGGGAGCGGCTGGAAACCCCTTCTCTTCCCCTCGCCCCCGTGTGCGCTGCTGGACRCTGCAGGACAATGCCTCGACCCTCAGCTGCTCTTCCCAGGGCCAGCTTGGCCAGCAGAACCGCATCCCCGGGAGGCGCATCCTGCCCAGCGAGCACGGGAACGTCCCGCGGCTGCAGACCCTGCACCGCGGCGCACCGAGCGGCTGCAACAGCCCCTTCCCCGCAGGCCCGGCCGGCGCATGACGGCACCGCGTGCTATTTCTGGATTTTACCACCCAGTGCCTGCACTGAGTCACATCTGCTGGGCTGTCTCGGGAAATTAGTGCTGATYCCGGCCACTTTCTTTAATGCTCTCTACAGAGGCGCAGCCTGTCTGCTCCGCGCTGGCTGCAGCCGYGACACAGACACGTCACCGGGGCCGGGAGCAGCCGGCGCAGGGGCTGCAAGAACAAAACCACGTCTGAGCCCTTGCACAGCTCTGCAAGGGCCTGTGCGCCGGCACCACGTATAGGCAGAGGCAGATCAAACACCGGAGAGGAAGTGTTAAGCGTTACGGATGTAAAGCTTGAAATAGCAGCTCCAATTACTGAAAGCGGTGTTTCCAGCGYGGCCGGGCCGGCAGCAGCCGCATCATCCAGCGCACAGCCAGCGGTCCAGCGCATCCCTGCGCCGCGCTGCGCACCCGCGGCTGAAAAACAACCACCTTCTTTGCTAGAAATGTGTTACTTGTGTCCTGAAGCTCTGAGGCGAAGGAGCTGGGAGGAATAAGCAGCTGCATGGACCATTTTGGTTCAACACTTCCTTTGCTCCTCAAACCCTGTTATCTTCAGTGCATGGACCAGTCCTGAAATGCCTCTTCCCAGTCCGTGCTCCTCCGTGCCCACCTAGGTCAGGTATGGGGGTCCCAAGTGGGCACCCACAGAGCCCAGCTTGGCCGTGGGCTCCTTGCTSCTACCAGCACAGTGCGAGACCTACAAGGAAGACACAGGCAATTCCAAGTTCTTTCAAACATCATGGCAGGGGAAAACATGCTTTAGCTAAAGGAAATAAAACCTTGCATCCTCCACAGACACCACAAGAGCAGCATTAGCGGTAAGGCAGAGCGCCCGTTGACGCGCTCGCTCCCCGGGACAGGCCCGAGCTCCGCGGCACCGCGATGACAGCAGCTCGGAGCGAGCCGGGGCGGCGGGAGCCCCGCGCGGCTGGCAGCCGCCTGGGCGCAGCCCAGCGCCGGCATCGCTGCTTCCTCCTGACGAGCACAGGCCCCGCTGGGCAGCACAGAGGAGGGTGAAAACGGTGAAAAAAAGGTGAAAACGGTTCCTAGCTCTGGAACTGGCAGGGCAGCGGGTGCAGCGCCCACCCCAGCGCGGCACCGAGTAGCGCCGGCCGCGGCACCGCGGCACACGCGGCTTTACAGCGTCTCATCTGCACAGATCAAACGCTGCTCCTGAYGCCTGACAGCGCTTCCTTAAGCGAACACCGGTTTCTGTTTTCCTACAAGTGCGTTTAATGCATATTTTATCTGATCAAATAATCACTCGACAGCAGCAGAGCATGCGGCAGGGAGCCCCCGCAGCGCCGGCGTTAACCCCGTTTTGGAGTTCGACGCGTTGTGATAAATGTCACTGCGCTCAAAATAAACCTTCCCTGCTCGGAGCCAGGTGGGCCAGGCTCTAATGCTGCAGCGGCCAGGGCGGCTCCATGTGAGCCTGGCCACGGTGCGTGCCCCGGCCACGGTGTGCGCCCCGAGCTCGGCACAGTGCGTGCCGCGAGCCCAGCCACGGTGCGTGCCGCGAGCCCGGCCACGGCACATGCCATGAGCTTGGGCCGGCGGCGCCACGAGCTCGGGCCGGTCTGTGCCCTGCGGAGCAGCCGGCGCTGCTGCATTGCGCTGGCGCCCGGCCAGCACCAACAGGTTGATGGATGGAGCGTTCTGGGCAGGCGCGGGCAGGAGCGGCAGCGAGGAGCGGCGATGCAGCGCGCGGGGACGGCAGCAGCGGCAGGGGAAGAGCAGCCCGGGCACAAGGCCACGGGACGGGCAGCAGGGGCGGCCCCGGCGCTCGGGGAGCGGGCACAGGACCAGCCCCGACGGCCACGGCCCCGGGCGCGCGAGCCACCCTCGGGTGCCGTCCGCGGGCAGGGCGCACAGAGCAGCCCCGCAGAGCGAGCGGGCGGCAGGGCCAGTTCGCGCACCCCAAAAGCCGGGCGCAAGGAGGCAGAGGACGGCGACACACCACGCCAGGACGGAGCCGAGCAGGACTGCGCTGGGGTTCCCCTGGTGCAATTCATGTCTTCATCACTGTTAATAACAATTACCTAGCCAAAGCGGTAAGGTGTGCAGAGGACACACAAATACCGGCCAGGTGAGCGATGCTGCTCCCCTTGTTCAACCTGGAACACCCGCGCCTCGCTCGGCGCACACCCGCGCTCTGAAACACGGGGCAGACACCCATATAGGCCCATACATCCTGGTGGGTTTCACAACAGAGCCCGATGTCTCCAGCGGGGAACTGGTCTCCAGCCCGCACGGCACCTGGTGACACATCCAGACATACTCTCCACGGAAACATTCCTCGGAGCTGGCTCGAGGCTGTTCTCGCCGGCATCGCCGAGCTCGGCACCGCTCGCGTCCCTCCGCCTTCGTAGCAGGCTGAAAAGCAGAATTCCTCCTCCTATCCCCTCTTTCCAAAGCAGGGGAGGAACAACACCGCTTGCCCCGGCAGCGGGAATGCTTGTGACGTGCTCAGGAAACACAACAGGACTTGTCCCACCTGGAGCCACTGGTGTCCCCTCCCGTGCTGGCATCCCGTGAGATAGCAGGGATCAGCAGCCCCTGGGATAGCACAGAATTCAATGGGATAGCGCAGCACTCAACAGGACAGCAGGGAGGAGATCCCAGCTGGGATAGCAGGACATGAGCATCCCGCTAGGACAGCATGAACATTCAGCTGGGATAGCAGGGATGAACACACAGTGGGATAGCAGGGATGAACATCCCGTGGAATAGCAGGGATGAACATCCGGATGGCTCACCCTCCATCAGGAGCTGCCAACACCYGCTGCCCAATGGAGCCAGTGTGAGYGCCGCGGGTTCAGGTCTGTCCCCTCCACCATCCCACCCTCCGGAGCTGTGCTCTGGAAAAGGGAGCAGGGAGGAGACAGGGAAAACGCGGCCTCTTTTCCAGCACCCGTGGCCGCTMCGGCCACCGCGGCCCTGGGAAGCACGACGCGTGCACGGCCGCCCCGCAAACGAGGCCACTTATTTAGGAGCCTGCATACGGATTTGGGGACCTAACTTGGAAACCTGTGGCCTAGATTCTGCTTTATTAATAGACTAATTGAGTCTCCGAGTGCATCGTTCATCAGTGTCAGGCGCCGGCGCCTCCCGGCACAGGCTGTTCGCGCCACACGGGCGCAAGGGCGAGCGGAGGGAAGGAGCAGAACCTCCCTGATGCGAGCCCTGCACCTGCACCCATGTCCGCGCCGGCAGCTGTGCCGAGCTCGGCAACGTTCCTGTTTGCAGGGAACGACCCGCGGAGCTGCAGGAGGGAAACTCCAGCAACATCCGCGGGACGCGGAGCAAACCCTCGCGCGTGAGCACCACGCACGGAATGAGCCCCGAGCCGCGTGGGCTGCGTGTCGGGAGCAACGGAGCTCCCCCACGCCAGGCGGCACACAAAACAGCAATAAAATAATGCTAGGTTTCGTTTCTTCCAATGGAAAAGATCGTTTTGCAGTCAGAATTAACAGCGCATTGGACGCAGCCACAGAAGTTACATCAGTTGATCATATAATAGAAGTTACAGCTGCGTGAATAAAGACATACTTGCAAATTCTCCCAAATTAGACCCAGAGGGCTGTTAAACAGAGGCGGCTCCACCAGCAAACGCAGCCTCACAGCGCGGAGCGCGCCCGCGCCCGGGCAGGCCGGCTCCGGAGCCGCGCCGTGGGCCGCTCTGCTGCAGCACTGCCCTGCCACATCGCTAAGCTGCAATATTGCAGCTCTCCCACCCGAAATGGCTGCTCCAGACACGAACAACGCCAGAGGAAACGGCCGGGAGCGGCAGCGTCCCCGGCTAGACAGGTGAGCACAGCGCTCATCCCCATCGCCCGCCGTCCTCGCAGGGGGAACCAGAGGCTTTTCTGCCCCAAATCAGCGCTGGCGTCTGCATCACACCCCCCTCTGCAGTCCCCACACCGAAGAAACGGCAGTGAGCTGCAAAGCAGGCACTTCTCCCCAGCCCAATGAAATGCAGTGAAAGTATAAAAAAGTAAATGGCATTACAGGGGGGAAATGTTTTCTCTTTGATCTCCTTAACTTGAATTAAGCATATTCTAAATTAATCATTATGAGAATGTCTTTTAGGAAATTATCTGAACTGTCTTTACAAATCAGAACTTGAAAGAGCTGTCTATTGCATAAGAGCAGCTTAAAAAATCCCTGTTTTGATCTTTATATGTTCTTATAAACTAAGCCTTATATCTATCTTAATATTTGCTATTTTTTGAGGTCAGCCATCAGGGTGTCACAGTGTAATGGAAAGAATATTTCCATCATTACCAAAATAAATCCAAATAAAAGCTTGCAGCTTCCCTCTTCCCACCCCTGTCACCCAAGTCACTGTGCTCTGGAAGCACGGCATTCCCAGCTGGATGCACG